AGGAACACCAGGGGAACCAGTTTGAAGATGCGGCGGATGATGGGGGAAGCGAGGAGGACTACGTCTATCTTCAAGAAGGCGACTTGCAAGAGATCTATGAGGAAGGCGATGTCATGGAGGCTTTGGCGACCTACAAGGAAATCCGAGGTGCGATCAATGCCCAGCAGAAGGGCAGACAGTACTACCGCCATCCTGGAGGCTTTGGACGCGGGGCTCCTGACAAAGGGGCTGGCAAGGGCAAGGGCAGAACAGGATTCACATCGAACAGCTGAAGTCGAGGACAAGGTGCGCACGATGTGGGACCGTGGGGCATTGGGCTCGTGAATGTCGGGCAGCCCAACCAGACCAACGAGGGCAAGAAAATGCCAGACGCTTTGCAGCCACATCGTCAGCCTCTTCGGTGGCCTCCAGGAATACCGCAGCAACGAGCGCTACGAACAAGACCTGGTTCTGCAACCTGGAGCCGCACGTAGAAGGCGAAGGGGAAAAGGGGAGCACTGGGACCGTTACTGTTTCTTGGGAGGAACAGAGGGACGGTCCGATGCTTGTCAGGCTGAGTGGACGGGGACCACTCAGAGTCTGAGAGTGAGAGGCAGTTTTTCCCAGACAGGGAGTGCAGTGTGGGAGAGCGGTAAAATGGTTTTGGGGACATTGTGGAGGAGCAATCCCAGGAAGAAGAAAGTTTTTGTGGTATCTCAACTGCACCCCATCATGGAGTAGTTGATACAGCCGCTCAAGATGGTCTCATCGGAGAGCAGGCGCTGAAGAGTTTACAGGAAGCCTTAGCAGGCTTCGGCTTGCAGCCTGTCTGGACAAGAGTTGGAGGACGCGCGCAAACGCTCGGGATAGTCGCTCTGCCTTTGGGACTTCATGGGATATTCGAGACTACTGTCGTCAAGGAGGTGGTACCCCTCTTGGTTCCCATAAAGCTCCTTCGCCAGCTTGAGGCCATCATCGATTTGCCGAACATGCATGTGACGTTGTTTGGGGGCAAGCGCACTTGGCCGATGCAACAGCTGCCAAGTGAGCATGTGACGGTTGATGTATTGAACTTTGGCCCGGGGAAATTCACGGTGGGCAGTGAGGCCAAAGGTAGCGGTTATCATGCAAAGCAGTTTCGACTACCGGGTGCCGCTGCTTCGGCTTCGGTACCAGCTTCGTCAATTAGAAAGGTTGACGAACCCAATTCAAAACCCGCCTTCTCCAGCAATGCCGCTTACCTTGGTGGGCAAGATCAAGGAGGCAGACCTCACTCCGATCCAAGTCAAGGCAAAGGTGAGCGAGGAGGTGCTGGTCCACATCAACCCAAGGAGAGCGCGCCGGAACTGGAGGGTGCTCCTACCGCTTCCTAGACCTGAGCGACTTTGTGGCCCTTCACGGATGGGTATCAGAATGGCTGTCAACTGGGCCGTTGGAGGAGGTGCAGGGATACCGTGCGTCAATTGGGATAGGCTTATGCGGAGCATTCGCCGAGCTCATCAGGAACGCCGAAGAGCCACCACCCATGAAGAGCAAGACACCGCCCGCGGTCAAGCCAGTGGAATGCCAGCACCCGCCTCATCAACTCAAGGGTGGAGGCAACAAATTCGGTGTGCCATCAGTGCAATTCGAGATGGCGATTGGAGCTAACGGTCGCGGAGGTCAAGGAGCTGATCAAGGAGGGCAAGCCGCTGGGCGGGCCGAAGAAGCCGATCACGGACAACACCAAGGGCAAGGGCTCGGGCCAGGAGATCACAAGGCAGAGTCGGAGAAGGTCGAGGGGTACCGGAGGAAGATGTTCCAGGTGAGACAACATGGAGCAGATGGCACGAGCCCTGAAGCACGTGGAGACCATGCAGACGCTCTCGGGCATGGGATCGGAGAACCAGATGGAGATAGAGACAGACAAGAAAAGCCCATCCACGAGATCCTCAAGCAGAACCTCATCCTCAGACAGCACAGACACGCAGAGTGATGAGGACCATTTCCAGGTCATCAAAGAGCCCACGCCGGAGTCAATGAGCCAGTGGTGTAAGGTGAAGAACGCGGAGACAGGATGGGGCGCTGGGCAAATACGCAATGGATGGTTTACAGTGAAAAAGGTTAGGGAGACCCCGGACGGCGTCTATGCGAAGGTTCAGCCGTCGCACCGATTCATCATGGAGGAGCTGGTGGAGCAGCCGGAGGAAACGGTACGCAAGAGGTTGCGGAAGGCGATGGATCAACTGCAAGCCGAGGAAAAGAAGGAGGTGGACGTAGCAGAGGTCTTTTCGCCAATCCTGGAGGATCCTTTGACCTCAAGAACGGGTATGACCTGAGGAGTGAGCAAGACCGGAGGAGGATGTGGAAGGCCCTACGCGAGCAGCAGCCGCTGATGATCCTGCTGAGTCCGCCGTGCACAGCCTTCTGCAAGTTGCAAAGTCTGAACTATCCCAAGATGGACTGGGACAAGGCGATCACTCTGCTCAACGCCAGTGTGGAGGACATGGAGCTCTGCGCAGGGATCATGAGGTGGCAGCAT